TTTCTTTCTTTCTTTCTTTCTTTCTTTCTTTCTTTCTTTCTTTCTTTCTTTCTTTCTTTCTTTCAGATTTTGCTTAGGCTGGTGCTGCATAATTTTGTAATTGATTCACATGACTGAGATCGAGTCATTAAATAAAGTCTAATAATTTATTTTTTCATCACACAGGCCAGACCCCAACACCAACCAGATCATAGCTACCTTTCCAGGCAATGTCTGGTTCCACCAAACACAGATTTTCCTGGTCAATATCTGTTTGACATTGGATTTGAGGAAGAAAAAGCACAACCTGTCAAGTCTGCTCCATGGACATATTCGCCTCAACTTCAAAAGCTTTTTATCAAGATGAGATGTCTTGTTCCCATTAGATTTATTGTTAAAGGTAAAGTAGAAGCATTATACCCTTGTCCCCCTGGAGGGGGGTGGGGGGGGTGGATTTTCTTTGCTCTGGTCTCTGGTCTCTGGAAGTATGGATATTTTATGGAACTATACAATGYGCTGCTCCTCAAACCCTCCCCAGCCTTTGGACACAATACATATGTTGTGCATTGAGTAATATACCAAGTTGTATATACCTAGAATTTTCAAAATGTTTGTCACCTATATTGTCTATCCAGGGGTCGCGGAGGGGGTGGGGTGGGACAGGGGGGCTACAGCCTCCCATGCTTTCCCTTTTCTGATACAATTCTCTTCTATTTTTTTCCAATCTTAACCCTCCCCCCTTCACCACTTTTTACAGTTCTCCACTGCCCCTGCTATCTCCTTTGGCTCAGACAATGCAACCCAAATATATGAATCTGTCAGTTTTTCAACATTAGGGATGAATTATCAATCAATTAAGCCTTTGATTTTGTCATCAGGTCGTCCTCCCRCTGGTTCCTACATCAAAGCTCTTCTTGTTTACAATAAACCTGAACATTACAGAGAGATAGTAGAACGATGTGTCAACCACATCACRAAACAAAATGATGGTGGGTATGCAAAAAAAACTAACTTACTTCATGAGAAAGCAACTGTCAATAGATCCCTTTATCTYAAGTGAAATGTTTTCCCATTTCAGTGTCATTCTCTTGAAAATAAGATTGTTTGTTTGAGTATCCATTTATTCATACTGTAGTATTGTAGCTATGCATTATTTTGGACACAAATGAGGAAATAGAAAGCTCTCCCACTCCCAACCAATCATGCTACAGTAGATCTATTTAGCTTCCACTGTTGTATCACAGCATGGGACAATCACAACAGAGCTAGCCTCCAAACTAGGTGAAGGCCCAAAGATCGATTTGGAATTTAGAAGTTGATTTTTGAGGAGGGAGGAAAACCGGAGAACCCTGAGGAGAAACCCTCAAAGCACAGGAGAGAACCAACAAACAACTCTWCTCACATACAACATTGAGATCGGCAGGACTCRAACCCGGGTCACATTGGTGAGAGGCAACACATTAACAATGCATGCCGGMCGTGCTCCCCATGATCTATATTAGTTATTTTATAAAGAAGTTTAATGCTTTTTTCTAAGATGTGAAGACAAAATTGACATATCTTTCTTTAGGTCATCATGCACCTAATCATCTATTAAGATGTGAAAACTCTTCCACASTCTACGAAACTTGTCCTGAAACTGGACGTCACATGATTAAAATCCCTGTTCGAGAAGCAGAAGGTAAGCAAAGTTGCATTACATTTATAATCGTCTATGCAGTACAGTACTTATTTTTTATTCTTTTATTTATTCTTCCATCCTATCTTGTAGCTGGTATGGATTACTTCACAGATATGTTTCAGTTTATGTGTTTTAACTCGTGTCCTGGTGGACTCAACAGAAGACCGATCATTGCGATCTTCACTCTAGAGTATAAGTGAGTAAAGCAGTACCAGTAAAGCTGTTTGTATTAATTCAGGACATCTTTTGGGGCAAAACAGTGCTGGGCCCCCCCCCTCCCTCATATTCCAATCCCCTCCATGGAGAAAATATGGATATTTTCTGAAATTACGCAATATACTTTCCTAAAAACCTTCCTATACCCCTTCCTCTTTTACTCCGACGAAGGACTAGTGTCTGAAACGTCAGTAAGTATTTTCATCCACGATGTATAATTTATCTTTTTATCATATTTACCTTTGGAAATTCTAAGAATATATAGGGGGAAAGCTGTGTTGTTTTTTTTGTTTCGTTTCAGTGGAATGGTAATGGGCCGAAAGATTCTCAACCCAAGAATCTGTGCGTGTCCAGGAAGGGACAGAGGCAATGAAGAAATATCAGAGCAAAAAAAGAAAGAAAAAAACTCAAYGAATGCCGAAACCACACATTCACAACCAGAACATGTTTCATCAATATCATGTCAAGAGACCCCTCCCCCCACCCCTGTGGAGGATACAAAACCACTTTACCAAGAAAACAATAAAACGTCAGGCAAAAGAAGTATGTACGTTAAACACTTTGTGACATCATTTTCTAAGCATTTAAAAGTAAGTTATTGCTTCATYGCTGGAGTCACGAACTCAACACCAGATTTTAATATACAAGTTGGCTTTTGTGGATGGAGGAAAACCAGAGAACCTTGAGAAAAACCCTTGAAGCACAGAAAAGAACCAACAARCAACTTTATTCAGTCACATATAATGGCTGGCACATTGTTTAAACCATTGGCTTCAGGAGTGAACGTTGGTGCATTAGCTGAGAACATCTCTCTGCTAAGATCGATCAKGCAGCATTGGAGGCCATATAAAGTGTATATTAGTTCATTAAGTAATATATACAGTATGAGTGGCCGTGTTGTATCTGATATACAAACTCGAGGCATAGCCGAGAGTTAGTATATCGGATACAACACGGACAYGAATACTGTAGATTGCTTATCAAACGTCTAGGTTAGTTCCTTTGTGTTTCACTAAAATTTTCAAAATTAAAGTGAATCTGCCCAAGAAAATCCAAGTTAAAGTTTATGCAAATGAACACGATTCTGTATCTGATTTACAGAACTCTTCACRGTCGTGATTTCTATTGTGAATTATTAATGAGTTTGATAATGACAATTTATGTAACTCAACTTTACAATGCAGGTGCTACAAAGATCACAGAAGGGTTCCAGCTGCAGTCTCTCTCAGCGTACAAAAAAATAAAACGAGAGGAAGATGAAATATTTACTATTCAGGTAGGAAGATATATGGGCAAGTGCTGTCAGCCCTGAAAGATCAGCTATATAGCTACTAAAGATTTTATTTCACCCTGAACAACCTTCTAGGTTCAATCTAAGTCAGAGCATGGCTAACTTACAGATCAAACCCTGAAACAACCTCTGGGC